AATAAAAACACACAAGTAAAATAAAAATATATATAGAAAAAAATTGGCAAGAGCAAATGAAAAGAAAGAAAGAAAGAGAGAGAGAGAGAGAGAGAGAGAGAAGGAAAGACAGAGAAAGAAAGCAAATTAAAGATAGAAAACAGAAAGCGAATGATAGAAAAGGAGAACTAAGTGAAGAAATAATAGTAAGAAAAGAATCACCGAATGAGCTGCAAACAGGAAAATATTTTTGAACTCAAGCAGAACAAACAATTTCAGATCGGTGTTGTAACGTAACATGCATTCAATAATTCATTCATTTGTTCATTCATTTGTTCATTCATTTGTTCATTCATTCGTTCGTTCGTACGTTCATTCATACATTCGTTCTTCCATTCATTCGTTTTGTCATTCATTCATTCATTCATTTAAAACCCCTAATTTGAGCTTTTTTTATTCTTTCGTTCTTTTAGTTAATGAGTGGGTGAGTGAGTGAGTGAGTGAGTGAGAGAGAGAGTGAAGAAATGAAAATAAATGCGGAAAGTAAGTGAATGAAAAAGTGAGTCTGCGAATAATTACTCTTACATAAGTGAGTTTAAATTGTTGTACTGGCGTTAAAAGTTGATGCCCACAATCTAATCTTCAAAAAATAAGCAATGGTATTTGCTTGCCGGGTGTTTAAACGTAACGTGTGTATTGGTTTGACTGTTTGCGTATTAGCGGTATAGATGCGTTTCTATTTTAGTGAATACTTTTGTATCTGTCTGTATGTATGTATGTATGTGTATATACATGTATGTGTGTGTATCTATCTGTATGTAATACGTGTTTGTTTGTATGCATGTGTGTGTGTCTATTTGTATGTAAAACATGTATGTATGTGTGTGTGTAACTATTTGTATGTGATATATTTATGTATGTACGTGTGTGTATGAGTGGGTGCGTACGCGCAAGAATATGTACAATATTGTGTACATGTGAGCATACATAATTTTTTGTATTTTATGGATCTGAAAGGGTCTAGCATGGCTAATGTGTTTACATTTATGTCTGCGTAAAATTATTTTGCTGGTGTTTATAATTTCGTGCGTGCAACACAAGTACACATGCACACATGTATATGCACCAACGTACGCTTACACAAACACATACACTCATATGTATATACACAACACACACATACACACACATACATAAACACGTATACAGAAACACATTTATGGATGCTAATAGTGTGTGTGAGTGTCTGTGTTGTTTTGTATTGTTTTATGTATAGAAATGTCTGTGTGTGTGTGTGTACATACATATATATCGATGTTCATGATTTTTGTTTGTTAAGAATCTGTGCGTGAGTGAGAAAAAGATAGAAAGAAAGAGAAAGAAGGGAAGAATGTGCGTGTGTGTGTATTTGTGTGTGTGTGTATTTACGTGTGTGTGTGTGTATGTGTGTGTGTATGTGTGTGTGTGTATGTGTGTGTGTCAGTGAGTGTATGCGTGTGGCTGATGTTGAGCGTGGAAAATTATTTGTAACACCTGCCAATTTTAAATTATGTTTTCTGGGTTCAAATTAAAAAAAAAGTTATATGAGGCGTGGATGGATGGATGGATGAATGGATGGATAGATAAATCTATGTATGGATAAATCTATGTATGTATGGATAAATGAACGAATAAATGAACGAATGAATGAATGAATGAATGAATGAATGAATGAATGAATGAATGAATGAATGAATGAATGAATGAATGAATGAATGAATGAATGAATGAATGAATGAATGAATGAATGAATGAATGAATGAATGAATGAATGAATGAATGAACGAATGAACGAACGAACGAACGAATGAACAAACGAATGAATGAATCTAAGAACAAACAAAAAAATGAACAGACGAACGATAGTACGAATGAATGAGCTAACCTATAGTTCTGAAATGATTGAGATAGCTTAATTAAATAACAAAAGATCGAATGAACGTATTAGCAAACAGTTAAATGGAAGAACAAAGCGATAATTATATTTCAAATGATTATTGCATGGATGTATGTAAGAAAAAAATATGATGATAGTTTGATTGAAGATTAAAGGATTGATTGCGAGAGGAGTTGATAAGGGATGAATGAATGAAGAGACGTATCGCTTGTTGAGAAAATAATTATCTGTATTACACATCAGCCATTTGTCCGTCTGTTGGTTAATATTTCTACACATAATAAAATGAATAATAATAATATTATTATTATTATTATAATGGAATTATAACAATAATATCAATCTCATAGTTCATATCTTGCTTCTGCAATTATTAATATTGAAATTTTCATAAATATTATTGCTTATTTTATTATATTTATTTGTTTGTTCGTTCGTTTGTTTGTTCATTCAATCATTCATTCATTCAATCATTCATTCATTCATTCATTTACTCAATTCAATTCATTCAATCCATTCATTATCGAATGTCTTCATGTTTTAAATCTTACCTTCTTGTAACGATAATAAATTGCTGTTGAATTTTATTATTACATCTATTATTATTAATATTATGAGTATTAGTAGTAGCAGTAGTAGTAGTAGTAGTAGCAGCAGCAGTAGTAGTAGTTAGAGTAGTATTAGTAGTAGCAAAAGTAGTAAAAGTATTATTATTATTATTATTATTATTATTATTATTATTGCTTCTTACTCTTACATAAATTCAACATAGTTATATATATATATATATCGGTTATACAAATGTTGTTTCGTTAAACTCGTTATCGTTGTTATTATTATTGTTGTTGTTGCTATTATTGTTATTATTATTATTGTTGTTGTTGTCACTGTTAGTATTGTTGTCGTTGCTGTTATTTATTGCCATTTAAACTGCTGACTATATAAAAAGAAACCTGTCATACATTTTTTTTCTAACATTTTAAAATACTTATGACTTTTATATTTTTATTCATATTTTTCTTCTTATTATTATTAAATATTTTATTATTGTCGTTGGTCCTGACATTACCATCATTAGCAATAAAAATAGTAGTAGTAGTAGTAAAAGCAGTAGCAGTAGTAGTGTAGTAGTAGTGGCAGTAGTAGTAGTAGGAGTAGCAGTTTTAGTAGTTTTAGCAGTAGTAGTAATAGTAGCAGCAGCAGCAGCATGCTACTACTACTACACCACCCTACACACAGACCCAGACATACACACGCAGACACACACACACACACGCAGACACACACACACGCATATTAATTAACGATTCATCATCTCATTATTAATTCAACTCACATTCAACGAATGCATGCATGCATATCCAAATTCACACGTGCATTTATGTTACATGGCATAATATATAGCATAATCATGGTATAATATGCATATTATATATTAATGATTTCTCTGTGAGTGTGTTTTTATAAATAATTAAATAAATGTTAAAAAACACACACACACACACGGCGCACATGCATCCACGCATCACACACATTGCACGTGATAGTCAGGAATCCGTTCACAGGAACAACATCGCTAGGCGCCTTAACCATTAGGCTACCTCGAAGGACTTACAATTTGTATTAATTAAAACAATTTTTATGATATATAATTTAAACCAACAACCAAACCACCGCCTTACTTGTTAAATTAATACTTTCCGTCACATCCCTACTGGACCCTCCTTGGTAACCCTGCAAGGTCACGTGTTGCTTAGACAATTGCCTAATTTCATCCGGAATAAATCCGCAAAATTTCAAGTTGGGACTTCTTTTTTTGACCACCCTGGCTACGTTAGATGTTATTTCGGTTGGTAGGCAGAGAAGGAAGAGGAGTAAGATAGATGTCACTAAATTTAATTTAAGTGATCGGCTTGATGTTGAAGTTGTTGATGTCGTCCCTGCCAGCGGCTTAATTTTGTTGTAGCTAACCGTGCTGTTGTCATCTCTGGTGTTGTTGTCACCAGAATTGTTGTTATCTCTGGTGTTGTTGATGTCGTCAGTATTGTTGTTGTTGTTGTTGTCATCTGTGTTGTTGTTGTTGTTAAAGGTTTTTATACTGTTATGATTCTCTCTTTTGTTACAGTCGTTGTTGTTGTCTCTGAGAATGTCAAGATCGGTGAACTTGCTGGTGTTAATGTTGCCACAGACACGCATTCTTGTTGTCTGATTGTTTGTTTATTTACAATTATTTTAATGTTCAAAAGATATTTTACTGAAAATATAGTGGCAGTTGTTGTAGCGGTAGTAGTAATTGTTGAAGAAATGGTAGATGCTAATAGTGATAGTAGTAGAAGTTGTATTTTTAGTAGTAGTAGAAGCAGTGTAGTAGTAATAGTAGTAGTAGTAGTAGCAGTAATAGTTGTAGTTGAAGTAGCAGCAGTAACTGAATCAATAGTAGTAGTAGTAATAATAATAACAGTAGTAGTTGTAGTAATAATACTAAAATATTTCAATTACTGGTCTTAATCTACACAGTCGTTGTGTTCTTGCCGTTGAAGGCTCCTATTACCATTTGATATCAGCAATGACTCTAATTAACATCGTTAGGTATTTCTCTAATTGTAGCAGTTAGTAGTTATAGTAAATGGAGCAGCAACAGTAGTTGCAGAAGTAGCGGAAGCAACAGCAGCAGCAGCAGTAGTCGTAGTAGTAGTAGTAGTAGTAGTAGTAGTAGTAGTAGCAGAAGTAATAGTAGAAGTAGTATTATTAGTAGTAGCGATAGTTTAGAAGTTATAGTAGTATTATAATTCAAGTTAGTATCTATACAGATGCTAATAATTGCATCAAATTATCCAAATATTTTCTCTAAAACTGTTAAAAAATGTTCAGTGGAGTTAACACGCCAACTCAGTCAGAAGCCTAAATACATTAAAATAAATTTCCAATTAATTGATGATAACAATAGTAAAATAATTCAATCACGATTAAATAGATTAATCAATTACTTATTCAATTAACAAAAATTAATATTATTATTTTTATCATGATCGCTTACGGAGTCATAAATTCGTTAACAACAAACATACATCTTGCCATGTAAAATTCAACAATATTTGAGCACATATATATATAAATGAAAATATGCATATATAAGTGTGTATGTATGTATGTATACTGCATGATATATACATAAGGCAATATATATATATATGTATATATATTTAAATATATATATATATGTATATACATATATATATATATTCAGGTGTTTCATATTAATGAAATTAATTATTAATATAACCATTTTTATTGATATTATTGTTGCTACTGCTATTGTTTTTGTTGTCATTTTGATTATTATTATTATTGTTTGTTACTGTTTATTATTATTATTATTAATTATTATTATTATTATTATCATTATTAGAGGTATTAAAATGAATGAAATGAGAGAGACATGAGAGTTGAGTGATCAAGCGTGTGTGACGTACGTGAGTGTTTAAGTATGTGTGTTTATGTGTGTGTATGTGTGTGATGTGTATGTGTGTGTGTATGTGTGTGATGTGTGTGTATGTGTGTGATGTGTATGTGTGTGTGTATGTGTGTGATGTGTGTGTATGTGTGTGATGTGTATGTGTGTGTGTATGTGTGTGATGTGTATGTGTGTGTGTATGTGTGTGATGTGTATGTGTGTATGTATGTGTATATATAATATGTGTGTGTGTGTGTGTGTGTTTAAATATGTATACTACTACTTCTACTACTTCTACTTCTATTACTACTACTACTAATACTACTACTACTACTACTAATAATAATAATAATAATAATTATTATTATTATTAAATTTTATTAATAAATAGTATTAATAACACTTATAACAGAGAATAATGCTATCTTGCTATCAAAGATAGTGTTGGAGATTGAAGAATTCGCACAAGTGTATGTATCTTGTTGAGACCTAGACAAGAGAAGAAATATTTGTTTATTCGTTCATCGATTCATCAATTAATCCATTCATTCTTTCATTTATTCGTTCTGTCTTTCATTCATTGGGCCATTTACTTGTTTATTTGCTTTTTGTTCATTCATTCATCCATTCATTCATTCATTCATTCATTCATTCATTCATTCATTCATTCATTCATTCATTCATTCATTCATTCATTCATTCATTCATTCATTCATTCATTCATTCATTCATTCATTCATTCATTCATTCATTCATTCATTCATTCATTCATTCATTCATTCATTCATTCATTCATTCATTCATTCATTCATTCATTCATTCATTCATTCATTCATTCATTCATTCATTCATTCATTCATTCATTCATTCATTCATTCATTCATTCATTCATTCATTCATTCATTCATTCATTCATTCATTCATTCATTCATTCATTCATTCATTCATTCATTCATTCATTCATTTATTTATTCATTCGTTCATTCGTTTTCACGTTTGTCTGTCGGTTTATTAGTTCATATGTACGTGTTTTTCATTCGAACAATCAATCAATTCATCATTCGATCCATCCATCCATTTATCCATTTATTCATTCATTCACTCTTTTCCTCACTCACTCACTCATTCACTCACTCATTCACTCACTCATTCACTCACTCCCTCACTCACTCATGCTCATGCTATGCATGTAGCAGTTCGTTTATTTTTCATGTAAGGACGACAGTTAATAAATTAATCGCATTGTATGTTTGGTATTTCTCTGTTATTTCTGTTTCTTTTGCTCTCCTAGTAGTAGTAGTAGTAGCAGCAGCAACAGCAGTAGCAGCAGCGGCAGTAGTAGTAGTAGTAGCAGTAAAAGTTGTAGTAGTAGTAGTAGTAGTAGTAGTAGTAGTAGCGGTAACAATCTTGGTAATGTTACATACATACACACAAGCGGACTTGCAGAGATACGTACATTTCATTTCAATTCATTCATTCATTCGCCTCTAAAGTCATGTTTGCCAAATTAGAAGCTGATTAATAAATTACAATGACGTTGTTGTAATTATATCGAGAATAATAATAATAATAATAATAATAATTATACTACTACTAATAATAATAATTAATTATTTATGATTATTCGTAATAATGATAAATAGAGAATGAACAGTTCTAACGTAATAGCGGCCCAAGTGTTTCAAGTAAAAAAATGTTAATTCATCCATCACATTTATACACATACATGTGCACGACGACGACGATGATGATAATGATGATGATGACGATGATGATGATGACAGTGATGGTGGTGATGATAATTATAACGATGACGTCATTTTACTATTGGCACCTCCACGCAATCTGGGAATCAAATGCAACATTACGTAATTGCTTGCCACCTAGAACGTACCATTCTTTTTCCAAGTTCATGGTGATGATGACGATAGTAATGACGATGATGATGGTGGCGATAATGATGATGACGAAGATGATGACGACGACGATGATGGTAAGGATGACGATGTATATTATATAGTTGTCTTGCCATACGGGTTAAACTATAAAAATGTTAAAGAAAAAATTTAAAATTTTTTAAATAATATAAAACGACAAAAACAACAACAGTAACAACAATAACATCAACAACAATAACATCAACAACAATAACATCAACAACAATAACATCAACAATAATAACAACATCAACAACAACAGCATCGACGACATCATAGGCACTAATCATTAATGTTTATTCAAATGAACAATGTTCTTAACAAACGAACAATAGATGAAAAATGCCGGCAAATTCAACTGTCAGAAAAGCATTAAAACATTAATAATGTAGGGTTCATTTCTGTTAGTTTTGAGAGACAAACAGAGAGAAAGAGAGAGAGAGAGAAAGAGGGAGAGAGAAAGAGAAATAGACTAGACAGAGAGAAAGAGAGAGACAAACAGACAGAGAGACAGACACAGAGAGAGAGACAGAGAAAGAGAGAGTAGTCTATATGTAACATTGCATGCAAATGCTCATAAATCATATCTCCAATACAATATCAATTGTATCAATAAAACATACAAGGTTCTAAAAAATAGTTCAATACAAGAGTATATACAAGTGTACATACGAAAATACTAAGAGACATACAAAGATACTAATGTATAACCAAGTTAAAAAACGTATATAAAAAATACTAATGTTTATACAAAGATACTAATGTATATACAAAGATACTAATGAATACACAAAGATACTGATGTATATACAAATGTACAATTTTATATAAAAAGGTATGCCAATTTTTTTCACAAAATACAAGAGTATGCATAGCCATTTGCAGACAGACATCCCCTTTCCAAAAGTACGAATCATGAATATATTATGCAGGTGAAGGTAAAAACTATCAAAAGACGAAAAATATTATTCTGAAAGAGAGAGAGGAAGAGAGAGGAAGAAAGAGAGAGAGAGAGAGAGAGAGAGAGAGAGAGACAGAGAGATAAAGAAAAGAGACTAAGATAGTGAGAGGGAGAAATATGAAAAATTATAATCAACTATGCATTCATCCTTTTAATTGATGGCTAGACATGGAAAAAAGCAAATCAAATGACACGAACACACACATACATACGTACATACATACATAAATACATACACACACATATACATACATACATACATTGTATACATAAATATGTAGGTTGCTAGCCAGACAGACAGACTCGATCGAATTCGAAAAAAGTTATTGTTTTGCATTTTTTGTTATTGAATGAAAACGGAATGAAGTATAATATAAATTTACTATTACAAATATCATTAACTAAAAATACATACACATAAATGGATGCATACGTACATACATTGCAAATTACACCTATTTACACATACATGACATTGTACAGAGATACGTACGTACATATGCAAACAGACATACATATGCAAACACATATACACGCATACACACACAAACGCATACATTTCACTAAAATTAGTATTTTACTATGAAACACATCAGTATTTAGAGATTCATTAACATCGGCATACAGAAATTATACTATTTCTCTTTCAGAGACATGATACAACGTTGAAATTATCACCATTAATTACTTCGCTAACATATTCGTGATTCCATGCTCGCTGATTATGTTGAAAATACTACTTCCACTACTAAATTTACACATTAAACATTACTCTTTCAAGCAGTATTTAAGCAATCCGTACTGGCAATAGCTAGTTAGTAAGTGCTGATAGTATTGTAATAGCAGCATTACTGAAAGGCTTATACGTTATTACAATCAAACATTCATCTCATTTTATTTCAACTGCTAAGTCCTTTGTACCAAATTACCTAAAATTAAACATCCACTATGTGTATGCATGTGTGTGTGGGAGCTAGTGTGTGTGTGTGTGTGTGTGTGTGTGTGTGTGTGTGTGTGTGTGTTGTGTGTGTATTTGTGTTTGGGTGCTTACATAAGCAATGAAATGTTTATGTGTGTGTGTGTGTGTGTGTGTGTGTGTGTGTGTGTGTGTGTGTGTGTGTGTGTGTATAGATATGTTGGAAGGAGACCATATTTTATAAAGTATTGCATGAATTCTATAGAATTTAGCTATATGTCGAGCTATGAAAAAAAAATGCGAAAGAAGGAAAGAAAAAAGGAAAATTGTTAAAATAAAGAGAAAAATGAGGAAATGATAGAGAGAGAAAGAGAAAGAGAGAGAGAGAGAGAGAAGGAGACAGAGAAAAGTATTGTGAAAATTTATTTATTCAAAGCACAAGACACATTCATTCATAAAATTCATTCATTCGCACACACGTACATACATATTGCGCACACAGACAGACACACATACATATATATATATATATAATCACATACACACGCACAAACGCAACTTAATTATGAATACTGCACCTGGTTTCATAGGTATTTATACCTGTTCTAATGACATTGTATGCTAGGCTTTGTACGTCTTTGTGCATATATGTGTGTGTATGTATGTGTATGTGTGTGTGTGTGTGTGTATGTATGTGTGTGTGTATGTGTGTGTGTGTATGTGTGTGTTTATTTTAGTATGTTTGTTTGCATGAATTTTTTCAAAACTTGAATGTGAATTGGGATGTATCATATATAAAAATGACATACCATATATACATGTTTGCATGTGTATATTGCATGTTTGTATATCTATATATTTGTATGTTTGTATGTTTAGTATGACTATATATTTGTATGTTTGTATGTTTTGTATGACTATATATTTGTATGTTTAGTATAACTATACATTTGTATGTTTGCCCACGAACAAATGTTTGACCTATGCAAGAAAGCTGACGTGATAAATGACCATGACATAATTTTATTTACATTTCACCAAGAAGACGTTTTGATAATGATGATGATGAAGATGACGACGACGATGGTGATAGTGATGACGACGAGGACGACGACGACGATGATGGTGATGGTGAGGATGCTGATAATGATGGTGAAGATGATGATGGTGGTGGTGGTTTTTATATGATGACAATAATATTGAAGATGATGATGCTGATTGTGATGATGATGATGAAAATATGCTCATGGTTATGAAAATGATAATAAAAAACAATGACGATCAAGCTGATGATAATGCTAACGATGATGTAGTAGTAGTAGAAGCAGTAGTAGTAGCAGCAGTAGTAGTAGTAGCAGTAGTAGTAGTAGCAGTAATAGTGGTAGTAGCAGTTGTAGCAGTAGTAGCAGTAGTAGTAGTAATCGAACGCTTTGTAAATTTTTCATTTACTTCAGTAGATGGAAAGATGCTTGAAGAAAGACAACTCAAATTTCGATGTTGCTATTTTATTAATTCGTTCACTGCTGTAAATATAAATAAATATCATAACGACAAAATTTGAATTTCTTGCATTCACTTTTGCGTGTGCAAGTCAGCTACCGAAACCTAAAAACAAGTATAAAAAAAATTGTCAACA